CCCCCAAGCATGCTGATCCTATTGTTTGCAGAAACAAACCCTAAAGGGAAATGTTGTAATTCTCATTGCATCACTTTTAATGTGTTCTCCATTGTTTACTCATAAATAAAAGATTTCTGACAAATTTTATTAATCATATTAATACAACTTCATAGTTTTCTATAAAGGATGCTAAAGAAAGATCCTATGATGGCAATAGGAGTTTCATGATGGAAAAGAACATGTTTTCTTGCATGTTACCACCACCCCTCCCAAATAAAACACGTACCTTACTTTTGGAGAGCAGAATGTATAGGGGAAAACATAGATTTTTTTTTTTTTCCCCAGAGTCGTGGTTGATTGGAAACATCAGCTCACTTGCTCTGAGTGATCCCTACTTATGATTTCAGGTTTAAGCTACAGTGTTAACTCTCTCGCAGCTGATAAGGAATTTGTAGCAGCTTTTGGCTGAGTATCCAGTATAGCTACTGCTCATTCATTAGCTGTTGTGAGATGGATGGTTAACACCAGACTTTGCCCATTCTTCTTGTTGTGCCAGAGAGAATTGAGATTCATTTTGGCAGCCATGAGAGCACAGTGTCTCCATCTTTTCTGTTCTTCTACATTTCTGTTCCAGTGGAAAAACAAAAATCAACCTCCCCACTTAAGATGCATCCCAATTTTGGAGTGCTGTTTTTTTTCTGGGGAAAAAGGTTGCATGTGCTATGCAAGTAAATAGTGTTCAATCCATATACAAAAGTTTTCGTTTTTCTCTTTTCTAAAATGGGGAAAAGAAATGGGAACACTTAGGAGGTTTGTGAGTATATGTTATGGGGATTATTTTAACTTTGCATGAAGATTACTAATCTAAATACTTGAATACTAAATACTGCCGGGGCAGATAAGTACTAACTTTTAATTTAATTTTTAAAATTTTTTTAGGGGCCCCATGGACCAGATGCAATGGCCAGGTGGGCCGGATTCGGCCTGCAGGCCATATTTTGCCCACTCCTGCTCTATCCTAATTGAAGAACTTTGCCATTGTCCTTACTGAATTTAATTTGATTAACTCTGAACAGTTTTTCCAGTTTACCAGGATCCTCCTGAATCCTAATTCTGTAGCCTCTAGAGTGTCTGCAACTCCCCCTAGTTTAGCATTATCTGCAGATTTGCTGAATGTACACTCAATCCCATCCTACACATTGCTAATGCATGCATTTATTAATATTCCACAAATCTAGAGTCCCCAAATGAGTTTAGGCTCCTGTTGTACTAGGCAATATAGCACAAAATCATAATAAGAGACCAGCTCTTATCTCTGCCTTGAAGAGGTTCACTAAATAGACAGATCAGACTGTCAAAAGATAGAAGGGGAAACATGCAATTTGCACAAGGTCAGGAAAGAATTGTTGTGTCTCCCCAATGCTGTATCCATGAGACAACACTGCCTCTCTAACGAACACCATGACTATGTAATATTTTTGTGTTTTGGGATATAAGTAGAGTGACCATACATGCTGAATTGGCTGGAATAGTCTTGGATTTCATAGGCTGCCCTGGCTGGTTGGTTTAAGTTGAAGCAAAAGTCCTGGATTCAGTTGCTGGAGGCAGAGGCTGCTGCCACCCAAAGTGCCTGGGCTGGCTCCTGTTGAGCAGTGGATGGGAGTGGGGGCAGGCTGGGTGGGCACTGCTTCTTCTGGCAGGGGTGGGAATCAAGCAGCATGGGTGGGGTGAAGGGGCTGGGTCTGGGGCTTGGGTACCTGTGTGGTGCACATCAAGATGGCCACCCACTGCTGGCAGCCTCATGCTCTGCTGCTGCTTATGCCTGGGCTGTGCGTGGTGGCTCTGGGAGGCTGCCACTAGCAAGAGGTGGGGGGCTGCTTCCATCCAGGTTCAGCTTCTGTGCACAAGGGATGGAGCCTGACCACTGGCCTCCTTGGCTCCGCCATCAAGGTTCCTGGGAGCTTTGGGGTTGGGGGACGGACGTGCCTGTGTATAAGCAGGGGGTGGGGGAAAGGTTGTGTGCACATGCATGTGTGGGGAGTGGGGGGGTTGGGGTGCGTGCATGCATGCTAGTGTCCCTGTCCCAGATTCCCTTTACAATAACATAGTTGCCCTAGATATAACTTTAACTGTCAAGATTTCTTTAAACCAAAATATTACGTAACTTTATATAATCTGCAAAAGAAATATTTTATGGATTTACCAAGAATGTTATTCTTAACAGGGGGCTCAGTTGTTTCTGTAGGATCCAACCATTATGTGATGTGTGATGCAACTACCTGGACTTCCCTAGATTGTCATCAGGAATGTATTTTTTGTTCTGTAATCTTGAAATTCAAGTTTCCTTTGTATGTGTGAGCACATGCAAATGTAGATTAGCTTCTCTAGCCGTGAGTTGGAGTCTGCAGAACCCATCTAGGTTCAGTGAGTGAGATCCTATTATGTGTCGCTCCTTACAAGCCTCTCACTTGAATATCCTTTTACCACATTGTGAAGGTGTCTTCTGTGTGCCTGTCTGAGCCCAGGGTTGCCTTATAGTTCAACTCTTCTACTCTCCCCGCTTCCTGGTTAGCTATGAAATGTGAGACCAAAAGGACAGGATGGGAACTTTTTCCTTGGCCCATCGATAATATCTTAACTACCTGAAGCAATTGCTTGTTTCATGCTATATAATCTCCCTACTTCTGTGGGCTGAGCTTGTATACCCTGTAACATTCCCAGCCACTTGTGTGGAGTAGGGAGAGGTTCAGATTTGATTGCTAGTCTTGATCTCCTGCATAACTGCAGATTTAGCTGCCATGTAGATAACATTGTAAAGTCTTAGGAGCTCCTACATGTAAAATCTTCCTCTCTTTCACAGCTTGTGGAAAAAGGACAAAAAAGGTGGATTTCATATTTCATTTTAATATTTTGTTTATAACAAACGCCATCACCTATAGTAAATCCTAAAGAGAATAAGTTGTTAGTAAATAACTGGAAATTTTAAAATGGTATTTGAACATTGCTTCAGCAGGGCAAGAGTGAAAACTTAATCCAAGGAAGTGACCATGGTCCATTACTAGCGGTGCTGTTGAAAATCCAGGAGCATTTTATAAATACAGAAATCCATTTTGTATACAGTAGTCACTGGAGATTTGAATTCTTTTCCTTGGAGAGATTACAAAAAAAATCTCTTTTAGCAGAGCCACACCTTTTAAAGTTTGGCACTCCTAGGTATTTAAAAATCTCAAGCATATTGTTATATTAGTTTAAGGAGTTGAGAAGGTGGGAAACTCCTTTCTTGAGAGCACGGAGGTAGAAAGGGATCTTGGAGTCATTATTGACTCCAAGATGAACATGGGCCGACAATGCGAGGTCACGGTTGGCAGGGCTAACCGGACCTTGTCGTGCATCCGCAGGTGCATCTCAAGCAGGGCCAAGGAGGTGATCCTCCCCCTCTACACAACACTGGTCAGGCCACAGCTGGAGTACTGTGTCCAGTTCTGTGTGCCCCACTTCAGGAGGGATATGGACAACATGGAGAGGGTCCAGAGGAGGGCCACCCGCATGATCTGGGGACAACAGGGCAGACCTTACAATGAGAGACTGTGGGACCTGAACCTGTTCAGCCTTCACAAGAGAAGGCTGAGGGGGGACCTGGCAACCGTCTATAAACTCACTACGAGGGACCAGAAGGATTTGGGAGAGACCTTGTTTCCCCTAGTGCCCCCTGGCATAACAAGGAATAACAGCCACAAGTTGTTGGAGAGTAGGTTTAGATTAGACATCCATAAGAGCTACTTCATAGTTAGGGCGGCTAGGATCTGGAACCAACTTCCAAGGGAAGTGGTGCTGGCTCCTACCCTGGGGGTCTTTAAGAGGAGGCTTGATGCCTACCTAGCTGGGATCATTTGAGCCCAGTTTTTTCTCCTGCCCTGGCAGGGGGTCGGACTCGAAGATCTATAAGGTCCCTTCCGACCCTACTTCTATGAAGGTACAGTGACAAAATGCATCGATATAGCTTCTGTAAATAAAATCCAAACATGATATTTTAATTTTCTTTTGATGCTTTACTATTGGGGTAACTACATACAGGTATTTATTTCTACTGGTAGAAATTTCTTCTTGTAGAAAAACAGTCCAGTTGGTGGACTGTGCAGGTGTTCCTCTAGCTTGATGGCTGGAGAGCTTTAAAGGCTGGCTTTCTGGCCATTGGGGCACTAGAAAGCTGCTTGCTGAGTCATCCTTACCTTTAGTTGACATTGCTGAGTCATCCTTACCATTAATTGACAGCCTGTCTTCTCGTGTGCCTTGGAAGGGAGTGGGCAGTCAAGCGGCTGTTGGCACAGATGGTCCTGAGAGAGTTCTAGCCCTGGGAAATGTTCTCCTCCCCCTCCCCCCAGTCCATTGATTATTGGCAGGAGGGTAGGGGGCATTCTCATGTAGTGAGAACCCTCATGATTCTTCCCTGAAAGAAGAATGGGCCCACTCCTGGGCTGATTTCAGAGGAGGGCAGGGACGGGGAGGGAGCACTTAGCTGCCATGGCAAGTCTTTGGGGGAGCCTTGCCGTAGGGGCACAGCAGCTGGCTTCATCCCTCTTGGTTCTGAGTCAGTTGGTCACAGAGAGGAAACTGATGGAGCTGGGAGCCAGGCTTGGGGAGAGCTTCTCATGCTTCTGCATGAGCTTTTGGCCCCTCAAATTTCTAAGGTGCTGCCCCCGCTGTTCAGCTGAGCAGTAGGGGTCGGGGGCAAAAGGAAGCTGGAGGGGCTGGGAGGCAGGCTTGGAAGCTTTTCGTAAGCCCAGTGAAAATGGAAATGGAGGCATCAGGAGGTGAGGGACAGGCTGGAGGGGGAGTGGGAAAGTGGGATGTAGCAGCACAGGTAAAAGTGCAGAGGTACCTGGTGAGTCAGATGTCCGGCAGGCCACAGTGTGCCAGAATTCCACTGTGTATATTGAGTCCATGAGTTTCTGTACCTACCACCTAGGAGACTGAAAAAGTGCAGCTCATAGGCCCAGCTCTGAAAAATGGTTTGTACATTCAAACAAGCACCTAACCTCATCACCAGAACTGAAGCCAACTTCCTACAGCTCAAAGCACAAAACCTGCCAACCATCTTCAGTACTCCCACAAACTGCACGCCAGAATCTATCAAAGACAACAATACCCAACTACCCGTGGGGGCACATTCCTCAGCAAAAAAACAACAACTCTGTCTCCAGTCTCTCAGGTCTGATCCTGAGAGGGAACAAATCACAAACCACTTTTCACAGCCAGGATTATGAACTTCACTTCATCAGCCCCCTAGGTGGTAGGTACAGAAACTCATGAACTCAATATACACAGTGGAATTCTGACATGCTGCAACCTGCTGGACATCTGATTCTCCAGGTACCTCTGCACTTTTACCTTCCCACCACCAGGCCTGTCCCTTGCCTGCTGACACCTCCATTTCCATTTTCACTGACTAGCTTTCTTGCCTGCATTGCATGCCAGGCCAGCCTCTGGCTTCTTTACTATTTCTTCCATCCAGGACCAGGAGACACACCAACTACAGGTTCTTCCTCAGCCTGACAAAGGGCTTTTCAATGCAAAAGCTGGCATCCTGTGGGGCTGAGCCACCCCGGAGCTTGTGGGGCTGCTCTTCTTTGAAGCCCAAAAGGAGAGGAGAGTCTCGGCTCTTTTCTCCCCTCCCTCGTCACCATCTGCTAGCCAGAGTCTAGCAGCATGGGGATGCAGCTCGGCAGAGCCCAACAAGGTCTGATGTGACACTTGTACTAGTACATTGCCCTCTTTCCTTTTGGCCCAGATCAAGCCTCGTGCCTGTTCTTAACCTGGCAGGGGAAATACCATGCATCAGTGTCCATGAAGGCAGTTCTCCTGAACTGCTCTCCCCTATCTTGGGGGTCTTTAAGAGAAGGCTGGATAGGCATGTGACTGGGGTCATCTGACCCCAGCACTCTTTCCTGCCCAGGCAGGGGGTCGGACTCAATGATCTGCTGAGGTCCCTTCTGACCCTAGTGTCTATGAATCCCAGGCAGTTAAGCTGCTCTCACTGGGAGCTTCACAACTCCACTGCCATCAGCAAGCCTCAGGCCTGTCAAAGACGTGACAAGTCTGGGCTTTCCCCAGCCAGGACTGTGTGCATGCATGCGTTAGCTGGAGGTTATGGCATCTTGTAACAAATTGCCTTCTCCAGCACCATCTTCACTGTTATCCACACCCTACATGGGGCACCCTTGGAGTTCCCTTTAAGGTTTCTTGTGTCCCGTTCTCTATTTGCCTACCACATCTTGATGGAAAATTATTATACTGATGTTCTTGTAAGCGGGAGACTGTCTATTGTATTTCATAGGTTGGGGTCTTCTGCCTCCATAGGCCTTGACCCCTGCCTTTCTCTAGCTAGGCCTCCCTGTCTAAAACCACTAAACAGGGTTAGAATCTGAGGCCCTAGCCTTTTTTTTTTTTTTCTTTCTCTTCTTGTCCTGAGGCTTGTGACCCTGCTTTCTGCTCCAATTTAGAGCCTGGCTTCCCTGGCCCAGAGGCCTAGCCACTGGCCCCACAGCCAGGGGGGGTCACAAGTTCAAGGCTGGGGAACGGTCCCAAACCCACACTGTCCTAGTCCAAAAAAAACCAAACCAAAACTGCACTTCAGGTGCACCAGACCACCCTGGCCTTTTAGGATTGTGCCCTATGGAGCCAGGGTCTGTACACCCTAAAATCCTGCACCTACACTGGTGCCGGGGCCTACGTACCCCGATACTGTGCCTTCTCTGGCGCTGGGGTCAGTGCACCCAAAGCCTGCACCCACGCTGGTGCCAGGTCCCCATGTGTAGTGGGGTTCCAATGAGGTCTCCTTCTCCAATAGCTTTGCCCAAACCACTGGAGTTATTGAATAACAAAAAAAATATGAACAGTCCTGTCCATGGGCAGTAACCAAGATAAATGTGATTAAGGCAGGCAGCATGCCAGCTCACACTTATGCAGGGGTTCATGCTCCCCACCGTCAGCTACAGTCCTTCTTCTGGGGTTGCTGCCATCTCTCCGGGGTTCTCCATAGTTCCCCTTCTCTGGCATTTGGACTGCTCACCAAGCCTCTCCATGGAGCTCTGAGACACACTCCTTCCCCTTTGGCTGCTGGCCCCTACTGCCACCCAGCCCAGGGTTTTTATAGTCCTGACCTGCCCCCCTTCTTGTCACCCAACTAGCTGGCCAGGTTCAACTTTTAACCCCCACCTTACCAGCACACTGTGCCCAGAAAGTTCTGGTCTTAAAGGGGCCGACCTGTCTTCTGGTAACAGGGCTAGGGTTCCCTGTTACATGCCTCCTACCCACCTTTCACCAGGGGATCATTGGTCCTGGCATTTACAGGGCTGCTGTGCTGCCAGTAGTCCCATCAGGCCTTCCTACCCTGGCAGGATGCAGTTTTAGTGGTCATGACCAGGACCTGGGGTCTTCTCCTTCCCAATAGCCCCAGCCCATACCTCCAAGTTCATCCTGGCAGGGGAGCGAGCTCAGCAGAGACATGTTCTTCCCCTGCTGGCTGGTGATGTAGTGAGTGCCCCCTCCAGCTGAGAGTGGGGCATAACTTGGCTTTTAAAAAACTCAAAAAAGGAAATTGGTGCAGATGGCACTCAGTCTGTCTGCAGGTGGAGCTTGGGGAACCCCAGCAGCGGGAGGCTCACCTTCAAGAACACCAGCCGCTCCACCAAAGCAGGATCCAGTTAGGTGTGGTGGGGTGTCACATCCCCAGCAACGCTGAACACCCTCTCGCTAGGAACACTGGGTGGACAGGACCGGTGTTGCCAGGCAACCATGGCCAGATCCTGCCACGTCTGGCTGCAGCTTTCTCAGTAGGCCAAGGGGTCACAGTTCAGTTGCTCCATATCCTTGGCGAGGATAGGTAGCCACTGGAGCCTCGGCATTACTTGCTCGAGGCTGGGGTCTGGTGCGTTTGGACCCCAGCATTGAAGCCATGCCCTTGGCCCACATGGACAGTGGCTGGCGTGGAGAAGACTAGCTGGTGCTGGTGGCATTGCTGGTGCTGGGAGTGCTGGCACAAGACAATGGATCCCCTTCTTCCACGTCCCTTTATCTCTGCCTGTTAGCCTCCCTGACTTTTTGTTGACCAGCAGCTGCGTCCAGCGATTGAGGGTTTGGGTGCTGCCAGTGCACATGCTCCCCTTCACCCTTGGGTGTCACATGCCTGCCAGCACGTGGACCATACTGCACCACAAGGGATCCAGCCATCTCCTGATGCCCTCCTTCATCCGCTTAGCCAGTGCCTGCACGTCTGGTGACGAGTGGACTGCCCCAGCCAGCAACATTGATCCCCTCGAAATTCTCCATTTGGTTCTCAAGTTCCCTCACTATGGGGATCACCTGGCTAAGGAGGGCATCGCCAGGGCTAAGGGTCTCAGTGGCCTCAAGGAAGGGCTTGAGGACCACCAAGATCTGGGAGATGGTATCCCACTCAGCTGTGTTCAGGGGGCTGCTGATCCTGATCTCCCCAAGTAAGGCCATCTCATGGATGGCCTTTTGTTGTTCCACCAGCCTTTCGAGCATTGGGTATCTGGAGTTCCACCAAATCTCCGCATCCTGCATGATTTTGTGCTGCGGGGTGTTTAGCTCTGCTTGTTTCTCCTGCAGCATCTTGCCCCCCTTTTCTGCTCCAGGACACAACTTGAATGTCTGCTTGCTTTTGTTTTCTATTAGAGAATAGTGATTTTCCTGATAGAAACTTGAACATCTGTACATAGCTTTATACTGCTCCTAACACCAGTGTGCATGGGGAAAGCTGCTCCTGGAGCTGGTCTTCCCCCGCATAGACAGTTTGGCTTTCTATTCTGAGCTTTGTTATTCTGTAAAGTAACTAGGAACAGCATCTGCAAGACTTAAGGGTTTTTGTTTAGGCTTGTTGTTAGAGGTAAACATTTCTAATAACTCTGAAACATATGGTTGAATTATTTGTTCTTACTAGAATGTATTTTCAAATTGTCCCAGAACATAGTGCCTCTGTCTGCTTTCCTCAGTATCCGAAGTTTAAATAGTGTTAAGTACAACATTATCAAGCTCTTACTATGCTTCCTGGCATGATAGTGATCCCATATGATCATCTGATCTCTTTTGGGCTTCCTTGATAGTGTTGTGCAGTCTGGATTCTAGGGCTTCAGATACCGTAGTAAGAATTTCATTTTTTAAGAAGGAGAAAACCTTGAGTTCCCATTTTATATCTGATAGAAGCTTATTAGATGTTGTTAATTCATGTAAGCTACATTAGGTGAGAACTTTGAGTATTAATTAAGATTAATCTTACAGTTTTATGTTTTGCTATGTTTAAGTGAAAAGCTGAATAGTGTTTTTGAGTGGCTGTACTTGGTTTCTAATTTTTGGATTGATAACTGTACTGATGGGGCTTGTTGGTGGCCCTTGCATGGATGAGTGAGGCTTGAAACAGGTATCCTTTTATAAAGAAAATGAATACCAAACTCATTCAGAAGTGGTAAAAGTATAAGTGGCTCAGCGAGGTAATATTATTTTTTTCTGTGCCTTTAAAACTCTTCTGTCTTATTGTATGGCTATACTGATACTTCATAGCACATGTCACCACTCTTCCTCGCCTCAAGTGTTTCTTTATAAAAGAGAAGTCTTTAGTCACTGCTGGAAAAGAGCTACAAAAGTGGTTTTTGCACAGGTGACTTGATCAGAGAACTTTTTCCCCCAAGGTTTCTAAGTAACTATTTTTTCCATAATTGCTCATTTTACAGTTGGTAAACAAGCTGCCTGTACCTGTAGGGAAACAAGAGTATATCATCAGCAGTCAAACTTTTTGGGTTCAAGCTTGCTTTACTAAAGTCAATGGGAGTTTTGGCATTAAGCTTAGAGGGACTAGGGACAGGTACAGGAGCACTTCTCAAGTCACAAATTGATAAAACCTTTGCTTATAACTTTAACATTGATCCATTTGGTTTGGCCTCTTCTTGGAAGAAACCTGTGTTTCACATTGAACTTTAAATGAGTGGTTCTCAGTCTTTTTTGGACTCAAAACACCCTTTGGTGTCAGCTCTTAGCTTTCAATTATTTTTCACTATGGAAAAGTAATAGAGCGATACTGCTTTTTGGAAAGAACCCCAAACAGCCACAATGGCTGCATCCAGACGAGCGTGGCTGACTGTGGTATGTGGTGCTGCAGACATGCCTGTGGTGCCACGTACCACACATTCAGCTGTTCTCTGCACTGCAAGATAGTAGTGTGTGTGTGTGTGTGTGTGTGTGTGTGTGTGTGTGTGTGTGTGAGTGTGTGTGGGGGGGGGGGACCCCGAGA